CAGGAACTGAGGTTAGCAATTTTGAATGGCTGTAGGATGTGGCATCACTGCAAACTCCTCACTGTATTTAACTCTGAATTTTCTGCCACCTTTAGTGAGCAAATGGGCTCGTCCTCAGGCTTTTGTTTTGTAGCATCTGCTTTTGAGAGGCCTTGGAGCTCAGGCCAGCTGAGCCACTCCATCTTAGTGAAGAGGAATACATATATATATATATGTATATATACATATATATATATATATATATAAAATATATATATATTTGAGCAGAAAGCTGCAGGTTTCAGTTAAGCAAGTATATATGTGTAAATTTTATGTTTTCAAGTTGGTGATAAAGTACCCCTTAGAAATCTCAGCTAGCACTGCTGTAAGAAAGAGGCAAGGGACAATACCAAGCAAGGGAAGAGACTCGTTGCACCATATCTCTTAAGCCTAAAAATCGGACAAAAATGAGAAAGGATGAGGGAGAAGACAGAAATGCCAAGTGAATTGGTTACCCTGAGTCACAAATAAATTTGGAGTCACAGCTAGGACTGAAATTGCAGTTCACTTCCTTTCGGTTAAGTGGTGTTTCTGCCATGTTATAGACAGGGAAATCTCTCTAAAAGTAGGTGTTTGAAAATACAAATGAACAAATAGATCCACCATTTAAATATTCTTTCATATCCTTTGATATCAGAGTTCCTAAGGTATGGAGAGGCACTGCTGCTCCATAAAAAAAAAAAAAAAAAAAAAAAAAAAAAAAAAAAAAAAAAAAAGCATAAAACAATAAACAAAAGATTATCCAAACTTTGATAACCTGAATTTCTAAAGCTCCCCCAGGGAGATTTCATTCAATTTTGGTCTCATGCATTATTTTGTCCTGTTTTTTTTTTTTTTTAAATCTGAGCTCTACTAACAAATCTTGGTTTTGTTTTCCTTTTGGCAAAGCTTCTCACTGTAGGATACACTTTATCCTGTTAGTCAGGACAGATTTCATGGGGGGCTTCTTTGTGAGAGCAATTGACTGAATTCAAGTGAATTCACTACCTTTGATGCTAGTTCACAGATGTTGGTAAACAGAATATGCTTTTATGATAGTCGCAATGCTTTTATGATAGTCGCAATGATGACTGCGACTATCATACATAGTACAATGATCTGTACTAATAGGAATAAGAATTGAACGGGCAGAATTTTTAGTGCAGAAAAGTTTAGACCCATGGAAATACTACGTGCTGCCCATAGGAAGTTAATCTGAATATGAGCATTCCACACCTGACATCTCTATAATAGTGCATTTGAAGGCATACAAATGATTTCAGCAGTGCAAACTTTCTGTCAGATGTGTTTGTTTTTTAAAACTTTCATGACCTTACAGCTATTTGGGCATGCACGTTCAAAACCCTCAAAATGCCTGTTAATTAAAAAAGGTTGATTTAAAAAAATACTCCCTCGTCCTGACTAGAATTTGTTGTATGTCGGTCCACAAACAAAAAGAAATGAGATCGAGAAATAATAATGTTTTCACATTGAGCTTGCAGGATCTTGCTGAACACTGCCATTTGCAAAGAAACAATTAAACAAGAGTGACAGTCTGCAAACCATGCATGGTTTTATTTACCAGCTTAGCAGTATTTTTCCAGTTTGTGTCATTGCTCGAACATTAAGTGTGAAAGGAAGTTTTGTGTGTTTATATTATATATAACAGCACTATAACAATATTTTATATATAACATAAATATATAACATTTCAAACAATTAAGTTTGGAATTAAGTTAGAGCGAAGGAATATTAGTTGGGTGGAGGGAAGGAAGGAAGGAAGGAAGGAAGGAAGGAAGGAAGGAAGGAAGGAAGGAAGGAAGGAAGGAAGGAAGGAAGGAAGGAAGGAGACAAAGATCAGATATGTACTAAATCATCAAATTATGGTGTGAGGTTATCATTCCTTTTCAGAACTCGGTTATTAAATGATCCCTGTTTTCCATAGTGCAGTTTTGAAATCTTCATATTTCTAAAGTGCGGTGCTATATGTTCTTTATGAGTGGCTACATTAAATTATTTGCCACATACCTTCAGTATGCTAGAAAAAAATATATATAATCTGCAAAATAGTGTCTCTTCTCACAAATTCATTATTTTGAGGAAGGGGTAGATAGCTGCCTAGGTGCTGTGACATTTTCCATCTTGATGCTGTAGGTTCTAAAGAAAAGGCTGTACAATTTGCACCTTATTCTTCCTGTAAGTAATCTTGAGAAAATAAAGAAAATATTCTACAATTCTTAGTCTTCCCCTATCTCTTACTAAGTGTTACAGAATCATGGTGTTACTTTATCTGCATCATGCTTTGGCAGGATATGTTTTTATAGGTAGCCTGTTTTATACTTGAAGCATTTGCTCATATGTTAGAGAAATCAGTCAAATAAGTTAATAGAGAATGTATCTGGTGTTTAAGAGGCCTAGCAATGGTATTAGATCAGCTACTTAGTCTCTATATAGCATTTTAAGTCTATTACCAACACAAAATAACTGATTTTTTTATATTCCATCAGCTGATATTTATCAGTTGATAAATAGAAAGGCTTATGTTTATTTTACATATCTATTATAAATATTAGGAAATTTTATAAACAAATATATTTTTACTTTTAAATGGAAATGCATCATAAAGCTTCTCATTCCTATTCTACATACAATGACAGAATATAGGACCTGGTAGTATCTTCCATGCAAAATAAATAAAAAAAACCCTCTTTTGGCTTAATTGCCGGATTGGGTCCTTAAGAAGTGTAAAATAGAGCTGACTTTTGAAAATGTACTGCTGCTGTTCTCTGCAGATCGTTGCCCTTTTGTTGCCTGCTACAAGGATTCAGCTTCCTACAGCTGTATTTTTAATTGAGAATGTGTTTAAATAAATATTTTATTTTAAAAGGTACATGGAGGCCTTGTATAGTAAAACAAAACACAAGTTACTTACTGTAGGTTATCTTAATGTTTTGCAATGGGAATTATACATAGCGCTCATTAGCAAGTGTGCATTCAAGATAGCCAAAGTGCTGGTATATATACAGAGTAATTCTGCTGCAGAGGTAACTAGACAGCTTTAGTGCTGTAAATGTCTATTGTGTTTATTCAAGATGTGTGGGCAAATTAAATGCAACTATAGCTAGCAGTAACTCTGGCTATCCTGTATTTGCCAGATTTTCTTTTAATGTGGTTTACCAGGCCCTCAGTTTTACCAAGCTCACTTTCAAAGGTTCATTCTTTCTCTCTTGAATTCCCATAAGCATTTGGGTTGCTCTTCATGCATCAAAGAAGAATAAAAAGTCTTTAAGTTATTCAATTTCTTTTTTATCTCTCTTCAGTGCACAAAGACCATAAAGAGCAAAGAAAATGCTGAAATGATTCTGAGAGTAAGCAGTGGGAAAGTTACCTACCCCACTGAAAAAACTTGGGTCTTGGGAAAGGGAGAGGAGCAGAGAGGTAGTAAAAGGCGATGCAACCCAGACACTTAAAAAAAAATAAATTGGTGGAAAAGAAAAACATGGAAATGGATAAGAATCACTGTTAGAGAATGGAGTGAGGGGTTCTGCTATTTCCCATTTTCTCTGGACAGTTGGCATAGAAACTAGCCAATAAAAATAAGAAAGGGACATGCAGAAGGCATGAATTTTACCAGATGGATTGAACTGCTTTCAAGTTAAATTTTTCTTTTTCTCCCAGCTAAGATCATATCAATGATGCTGCAGATAGTCAAGTGTATGAAAAGCAGTGATTTAGTGTAGCGTTTCATCACATATAATAGCATAGTTTCTGTATTTTCTAATGTGAATTTTAAATACTAATTTGGAATATAATGCTTGGAGTAAGAAAAAGGAACTTCATAATGTCCACTGATGTACTTTGCCTGGACCAAAAGGAGGATTTCAACTAGGCTTTAAGAATGGAGATACTGCAAGCACTTCCCAATGAATGATACTGTAAAATGTTTAAGGAGTGCTTTATAATTATGCACTGTCCAGGATTAATATCCTTCATAATGTGCTTTACTCACAAGGGAGAACACTTTCTATCATACAGGACAGCACAGCAAGCACGTACCAGCTTTGCTCTTGCTTTCCTGTTTCAAAAGATGATCTCTGTATCTCTGTGAGCATTCATATGCATAAAAAATTCATGTCTACAGCAAAGGAAGATTTGCTTTATATTTGTAAATTAGATGAAAACGTTTTGTGGCAGAATGTTCTTCAGCTTTTCAAGTTTTTCTAGATATGGCTAGGTTACTGGCTAGGTGAACATACTGGTTTTCATGTTCCCTCCCTGCTGCACGTATCTGGCTTAAATATATGCTCCTCACTTGGGTGGAAAAAAGGTTGAGAGACGTGCTTACATCTTTAACATAGTAATTGTTCAGTTAATCACATTTATGGGAGAAGGAGGCTATACTTCACTGATACCGATTAAATATCCTATACTGGCTTCTATATAAATAGCTACAAATGTGCACAATGGTTACATTACATGGTATATTTAACAACATAGCTAAATCAGAAAGTATGAGGTATGCCTTTAGTGAGGGGAGTACTAACGACCGCATGCAAGGAGATTTTTGCTCTGCAACCATGAAGGAAATAATTGCTGTTTAGCATTATTTAGTTAAGTTTGCATATCAGGAAAAACACATGCACAGAAACTCCACCTACATTCTTAGTGCCCTGGCACTGATAGGAGTGCAGCATATATTAAAGCATTGAAAGGTGTTGCAGTGAGCAGAACTTGCAGAATGCGTGTAATGTTAATAGAGCTAATTTGACTGCCATCAGGAGAAATCACAGTGATGATATTCAGCAGATTTTTTGATGATGCTTTTTTTTTTTTGTCTATTTTTAAGAATAAAGTCTTATAAGTGGCATTTTACAGCTTGGTAGGAGGATACCTTTTGCTGAGGTTTTATTTTTTATTTTTTTCCTTTTTGATTCGTTACTGAAATTAGTATATAAAGAGAATGTTTATTTTTCCTATTTTAGATGGAAGACTGTATTTGAAAACTACTGTCATGTACTGAATTTTCTTCCTGCTGAAGATACCTGTGCTACGGTAAAGAACTTTGCAGTAAGACTATGTGTCTTTCGAGTGAATACTCAAAAGGAGCTTCATGGAAACAAAGCATTTTCAAGGCGACTTCCTCGACTTCATGTTTCAATATTCTTCAAAAATTTAAAGAATTCTGCAAGAGTGTCCTCCTCCTTTGGTTAGCTCCTGTGGCTCAACCCAGAGACCTAGAGAATGTTTGTAAATGTACAGTAGCACTCTTCTTACAGTGAGAATCTCCTTCTCTGCACCGGACTATTGTATCCAAAACTACAGGCGGATCAGAACAAGGCTGAGTATTCTCTTTTTTTAAGGAATGCAGACTCTGTCCTCCTCTGATGAGTCCATATTTGAGCACATCAAATGATCCTTCCAGCGATGCCCAGCTGCACCGATAGACTGTTATGTCATAACGAAACCAGCAAGACAGCTCAGACATGAACTTGTAGAGGGCATAAGAGGATTCTTAAAAAAAAAAGAAAAAAAAGGAAAAAAAAAGAAAAAAAAAGATACATTCGGTTTTCAAACTATGATGGTGAGTTTTCTTCTAGAGACCTTTTTTTCCACATGCTTTCCAAGAGACCAACACATGGATGTTAGACTACATTAAGTGAAATGGAATTTTGTGTAAGTGAAAAGAAATGCTGAATGTAAACAAACTGTTTTACTGTTCACAAGAATCTCTTTTCCTAAAATAAAAAAAATACAATAAAAAGTAATAATTTCTCATTGTAAACTGGCAGGGGTTTATGAAATAAAAGACTTTGCTTATTCAAACTGTTGGTCACATGTACAGTATATAACGCAAATCACACAAGGAAGGTATTATGTATGCAGTAGAAATCTAGAGTTTAGGAAATGAAAAATTTAGATAATATTGTTTTGTCACCCTGTTGGTCAGAACGACACCTTTCTAGTTTTAACGCATGCAGGCATGTAAATATTTGTCCTGGAGTCACAGTATTACTGAATGAGATCTTAAGCATCTGGTAACAAGTCAGAATTCTGTAGCAGCCACTTTTATTTGTATATTGAGCCCTGGTTAGTGCCCTGGTTAGCGCACTTTTAAGAATGGACTGTGGCTGAGCAGCAAGTCAAAATGCCAGAAATATTTTTATATGTTAATGTCCTATTACGTCAATGTTGCTAAAAAAAAAGAAAACCTAACAGACACTTGATGTATCAGTCCGATTCCACGTAGAGCTGAGTGATACAGTTGAAGTCTATTGTCCCTCCCGCCTTGTCTTGCGGATGGGTGGTTATGTGTTACTTTCACTGTCTTTATGAAAGCTACAATATGTGTTTTCACCTTTGTGCTGATAACTGGAAGTAAGCTGCAACACAGTGCTTATGACATTACTAAAAGGTTATGTTCTTTGCTTTGCGTACTCTTGGGTTACCCCTTTAAAGACTGATTTTGTGAATCAGTGCTATTACTGTAAGTTTTGTGATTATTCTTTCTTCATCTTTAATGTTTTATGCATATAAAATATTATTTATTACATGGAAACATATCAAAACCTTAAATGTCTAAAATGCCTAACTTAAAGCAAATATTTCTTTAAAAATAGCTCTGATTGGATATTAATATTATTTTGTCAAAAAAAAATCTAATGTTTTGTAAACTCTAGCACTGAGCTTCTATAGTTTGTAGGTCTTCCTTGCAATACTGGTACACACTTATTTTGTGCAGTTCATATTTACTCCACCACCACAATCCTTTGTTAACAATAGAAAAGATGTATATACAAGTTCACGTCATGATAATTTTTTTTAAAGAAATCTTGAGCAATATTTTTCATTAAATATTGTTACCTAACACTTTGTAGTGATATTTGTTTTCTAATCATGATTCTTTCATAACTTTCATAGTTGCTTGAACATATATGGGATTCTGTACTCCAGTTTTTTCATATACAGTCTTTAAAGGGTTAACAACTGTAAAGTTAGATGGACTTGTGGCAAGCTTTTGAATCATTCATATCTGAAAGAGAATTAAAAGCCTACAAGTGAAATATGTAGTAGCATCTACCATTGCTCTGCTCCTTGCATAGAGTCACCTGTAAGTAGGTTTAGTAGTTTTACAGTATATACTTTCAAGACCTTTGGGAATGCCTCAGTGTTTGGCTTGGTACATAAATGGAAATGTTGAGGATTAAGGGGGAACCAATTTATAAGCTGGATGTTTAGAAAGAATCTTGCTAAAACAGTGTAAATATTACAGACCATGAGATGTTACCGTAAGTTGAATTTTTGCCCCTCTTTAGTTATACAGTTTTTTTTGTTGTTATTTTGTTTTTGGTTTTTGATTTGGATTTTTTTTTTTGCATAGATTATGAAGAGAAGTTGTGCTCATGTTATTGTTTATATGCTTTTGTAATCTTAAAGATATTAATGTCTAGTTGTTCTATATTATAACCACATTTGCGCTCTATGCAAGCCCTTGGAACAGAACATACTCATCTTCATGTAGGACCTATGAAAATTGTCTATTTTTATCTATATATTTAAAGTTTTCTAAAAATGAAAAAGGTTATTACGAATTTTGTTGTACAAAATCTGTACAAAAATCTGTTTTTACATCATAATGCAAGAATTGGAAATTTTTCTATGGTAGCCTAGTTATTTGAGCCTGGTTTCAATGTGAGAACCACGTTTACTGTTATTGTATTTAATTTTCTTTTCTTTTCAACAATCTGCTAATAAAACTGTCTGAAATCTCCCTGCGACTTTATTTACAGTTCATCTTTATTAAATTTTGTGAAATGTATAACATCAGAGGAATATTTACTTTCTAATGGGAGGCATCTAAAAACAACATAAGTCAGCTCTTTGTAATGTGAGGAGAACAATGCTGAATGATTTTGTTTAACATGCAACTGCTTCTATCTCTAATATGAATTACTGTGGTGAAAAACATCATAAAAGCATACTCTGTGGTTATTGTTTAACAAGCAGATTTTCCATATTTTTTTTCTTGCCAGCTAAGCAAACTTCCCCCATCTACATGATTTATTTATGTACATTTCTCAGTTTATGAAGCTGTTATTTGTACCTTTTTCCTTTATATTGTGATATTCCCATGATTCTTATTTCACAAAGCTTTGTGCTGAATAATGTAAAGTGGACATGTTGATGGAACAAAACACATTATTTCCCTAACTACAGAAATAGTAACACAGTTGTTTTAGTCTCACCTGATAAAATGTTTCTGGAAATTTGAATATACTAACACATATTTTAAATGAACATCAAATGTTTTAAGCTTTTAAGCAGGTTTTTGTAATCAAAACACTTTTGCTTTAGCATATCTTTAGTGTAATTTTGAAAGGAAAAAAAGGAGTGATTTTTAAAGGTAAAGATAGATATTTAAAACCAGTCTGGAAATAGGTCATTTTTGTTACAGAAAATTCAAAAGTCAGAGATGTATGATTTTGAATATTCTCCCTTATTTCCATGCTTCCCTTTCCCTTCCCAGCCTACATGACTAGGTAGCAGGTTTGCTTGGCAAAGGCAAAGAGATGAGCTCAGTTGGACCACCCCATTCCATTATCCCTAGATAGCCTGGGGTTCACAAGTATCTGGATTCCTTGATTCCAGTGGATTATTGTTTTTTTGGGTAATTCATAAGATTTTGCCTATAGCTGAATGTGAGGCAATCGCAACCTCCTCCTCTGTATTAAAATATCCCACTTCTATTAAAATATCCCAGCTATGTCCTAGATAGCTCCTCAGTGCTCTACTGGTAGCACAGACAAAATTACAGCAGGTAAGAGAAAACCCATTAGTCTCTCAATCCAGATCCTTCTTAAAACATGATGTCTACAGTAATTGTTTAGCCATAGCTTCATGTTTTTAAATAATCCAAACCCAAATCTTCCCTACACAGGCAAGAACCCTCATGTGGATTCAGTGATTCTTACATGGTCATTGTTTTGTCGCTTAAACAGGATTTAATGGGATTTAATGGGGCTGAGGTTAGTTTGGCCATCATCAACTCAGATGTTGATATTCCTTCTCATAGTAAAACAAAGCTGGGTTAAAAAGTTCAGTATCAAAAAAGGATTACCGTCTTTTATACCTTGCTCATAATTTGATAATAGATTATAATGAAATATGATCTGTTATCTAGGAAACTGAAGAACTTTGGAGTCATTAGGTACAAGATCCAGATGGAAGATAAATGCCCAAGAGTTGTGAAAATCTTTGGTGGGTGAATTGACAGACTCAACTAAGAAATAAATAATGCGATATATTTTTTGCTATGTAAATAGATTTAAGGTTGGAATTTGACCTGAAAGATAAACCTCTTTATCTGTTGAAGGTGCTATAAATTCTTGAAAATTGCTTCATTTGTTATTTGCTGTCATGTTATTTGACACAAGACTGTCCAATAAACAAAGCCTGAGGCCAAGATTTTCAAGTGTGACTACTGATTATAGGTATGTCTAGTTTCGTGGGCCAAACTTAGACATTTCCAATTCATTTTTAAAATGTTCTAGGTCAAGAGTTCCAAATTCTGCATATGTGAAACTTTTTTCCTTCCTTTTTGAAAACTGGGCTTATAAAATGAATGAAGTTATAAAATCAAAAAACTAGCAATCTAGATGTTATGGAAGCTTTGAAAACATTTGCTAAAATGTTGAGTAGTTCTCTGCTGACTATGCAATAGACTGTGCACTTCAGAAGAATTTGCATATCATCTGTGAATCCATGGATAAAAGCTATGATTTCTTCATTCAAGTTTGGCTATAATTCTTGTCATGGTTTAGTGAATTGGTTTGTGAATCCCCGTAAATTGAGATCAAAAGAACAGAGCCAAATTCTTCTCTGAGTGCACAACAAACAGGCAGATGCAATAAAGGAAAATCCTACAAGATATAAAGGAAAAAAAAAAAAAAAGAAAAAAGTAAGTGACTGGTTTTCCAGAGATGTTCTGGAACTACCATCTTGAGATATTATTTGAGATGACCTTCAGAGGTGTCTTCCAACCTCTCTTTTTTTTATGTTTTTGTTACTAGGACTACCAAGCTTATAAGCACGGTGCACTTGGGCGTAACACCCAAATTAGGAAGAAGCAAAATTTTCTCCTATAAACAGCAGTTTTAGCAGGATAAGAACAGAAGATCTAATATCTAACAGAAGTTCTAAACACAATCTAGAATATAAATCACTATGTTATATCTAAGGATACAAACAAATTGTTCTTCTGTATCAGGAGGCTAGAAGAGGTACACTAACAGCTAGATGGGAAAGAAAATACACAAGGTTAATATAGAAAGGATATAAAAAGCACTTATTCTGGGGCAGATGTGGTTTGTTTAAAAAACAAAATTAAAATGTGAGCTGTAGGAACTTTGTCAAATTACAGTGGTCCTGAGACTCCTTTTAGAGTATTAAATGAAAGGCCAAAGAGAACAAATAGCATGTCTAATAACAAAAGAATGGCTGTTGTGGATAATCATCGTTTCTGGAGTTTGTGTGAACTTTCCCATGCATTTTTTTATTCTGTATGCTGGCCAAATAGTCTTAGGAAAAACTGGAACTAATGAGCTGGAATAGATCCTCCCTTTAATACCTTTCCTCTGTTTCTTAGAATTGTTTCCTTGAAACCGATTAGTACTGTAAGATAACAACCAGCTATTTTGTAATTCTATAGATCTTGTCCACTATGAGATATAAGGGACTTTCAAACAACTTATTTAGCTTTTCAACTTCCCTGTCAGCTGGTCTTCTTAAGCTGTATGATATGTGCACAGAGGTTAACTGAACATTTTAAATCTTGGGAGACAAAAGGCAGGTCTTCGGTGTTCAAAATGCCTGTATCTGTGAAGTTGCATCATAGTGCAGGTACATTTGGACTGAATAGTGAGGGCTTTTTTTAGGTGAGACAGTGTTTATGTCAGTGAGGGAGCTGGTTACCAGGCAAATCACAAAGCAGAGGGATGAAAGAGAAAGTTATCATGGTTAGAAAAGCGAGCTACGAGTATGAGGATTTTTAAGCAGGATTTTTGGTAGTACTTAGACATGCTAGGAAAAAAAAAAAAGAGACTTAAGCTGTCAAGGCAGTAGGAAATACTGGTACATGAAGGAGAATTGTAAAGGAGGAGACTCAAAATGCGTATAGAAAGTCCTGATAAGCTGCCGATGAGCAAATTTTTCTTAAACTAATTTAGCAAGCTTGTGGGCGAACATCGTTCTTGAATTCTTTCAGAAGGAAAAAAATACCCATTTGGCTTCTGTTTGCTGTGACCAAACTGGTGCTGCAGAATTTGGCATGTCAGTGATGGGATGATACATTGGAGGCCTGAAATAAGTTTCCACATGGATCTCTTCAACAATCTGAACTCAATTTTACAATTGAAGAGGACAGAGATAAAGTATTATCTTCTTTGAATGCTGATCAATAGCAAGTACAGATACTCACATTGCCCTTTGAAGCCTCTTCAGTGGTAGAAGCTGAACAAGTTCACAGGCCACCTTAGAGAGAACTAACAGAGGCAGTAAATAATAAGAAGAAAAAGCTCTAATTCTCATTTTTTTCCAGGTGAGATCTTATTCTATCTGCCTCTGACTCAAACTTCTGCAACTCTATAAGTGTATACATGGCATCTGGTAAGATGATAAGATTGTAGTGGAGAACTAAGGTTTAAAAATGTTTCCCTGTGAAAAGGGAAAGCAAGCTATAAACAAACATAGAAGCTAAATGAAAAAGATCATAGTACAAAATTTGTCCATGGATTTCAGACTTCAAAGAAGTACCTAAAAAAGACTTTCATCCACCTGCACAAACCTAATTCAAACTATAGTAAATAATCTGCCTTTCTGAAGTATCTAAAGCACAATTAGCCTTAAAGCTCTGTGGGCACTAATCAGTAGCTCTTTGCAGCAACTAGATGTCTATTCCTGCGTAACCTCCCCAGGGGAGCCAAAATCAGTGATGAGCATGACCACAGAAGTGTCCCAGTCTTCCACAGCACTATCATCAAAACGATGCAAAAACAGCTGCTGACCCAAACTTTTTCCACATTTCCATAACCTGGGAGTTGAACAACAGTGCCCTGTAACTGAGCTGAACAGTGTGATTTTCTTTCCATTCACTCTCTTCTTGCTTCTATTCCTTTCCTATTTGTCTTCTTTTCTTTTAACCCTGGCCAGATCAAGCTGCAACCATTTAGTGTTATCACACAGTGGTAGCTAGGAGATGTGTGGACCTCATGAGAGTAGAAGCTTACTGAATGCYCTCAAGACATTGTTCCTACCACTTTGCATGTGTGAGAGGTGAACAGTCATGATGTCCTGGACTGCCAGAATCTTAAAAGGAAAGTCTGGGTGTTTTGACATTAGCAATTTTGTGAGCAAGAAGAGGTCTCCATAGGATGAATTGGCCTTGCAAATTCACCATTTGTGGGGTGCACTTGAACTCCTGAAGCAGTTTCTCTCCTACTGGAAACAAATCATGTAACAGGACGCAACGTAGGTTGTGCCAAGTGCAGTGTGGAGCCTAGACCCCCTAGCAACTGAAGCTTGGTGCAACCCAAGGACCATCAACTGTGCAAACTGCATTACGCGTAACACCAGGATGCGATCATGTAATCCTAGACCAGGCTGCACTATGTCATAGCATGGTCCTTCCTTCCTTTCACTAAAGCAGTCAGGAGCGTAGATACACTCAGTAATATGGCCTTTGCAATCTGATGGCTCTAAAAGA